AACCTATGCCAAATGTGTGCCGGTGGGTACTTTTCCATGGCTTGGACAGGGCTGTGGTTCTCGCACTCACCTGCAGGGACAGTGTCCTGCTAGAAGAGTTGCCCAGGCTCCTCCTTCAGAACCATTCCCTATGCCAGGTCTTGCGCATACCAGTGGGTCCATGGGCCAGCCCTACTTACTCCACCTCCTGACCTGGCAGGAACAGTGGCCTTTCCTAGCTGGCCTTCAATCCATTCTGATTGTTACTATTAGATGTTTCAGCCACTGACACTGCTCACACTTGGCTCAGAAGGGGCAGAGACCTAACCTACCATCCTACATCTACCCAGGTTCTTCAGAGCCTTACATGGTGCTGGAGTCTAGCCCAGTTCGGTGCACCCAGCCCCAGTCCACACTTGAGCCAAGGGAGATTGCAGTCATATCCAGACCAGAATGTAGCCCCCACTCCAGCTGCTGCACTCACCAGGGTGAACACCAACCCAGCAAGTGTGTACTCTCACAGCTCCCCAACTGAGCCTATTCCCAGCCCTAGATTATGCGCATGCCAGTGGTTGTTCTGACCCAGTTGGCTCAGCCCCTCACCTTTCTCAGCCCTTGCCTTTGATTCTGTGATCTAGTCTCCATGGCTCATGCAGACCAGTAAGTGTAAGAGCCTAGCTCGGCATGACCTATGCTCCATCCTGATTTCTGTTCTTCCTTGTGAGTTAAGGTTTGCTTGGCTCTGCCTGGTCCGCCCCCTTCCAGTTGCAGCTCAGCCCACCCCACATCCTGTCTTAGGATGCACATTCAGGTGCTGCTGCCTTGACCTCCCCAGACTGTTGTCGGTTCCTTTACCCATAAGTGATGGCAGGTTCCGTGGTCACATCTAGCTCAGCCCATCACCACCTCAACTCGTAAGCTAACCAGCGGCACTTGTATTTCCACAGGGTTGGGCCCACACTTCCCCCACAGAATCTACCCCTGAACCTGTTTCTCTTGCATGCTGGTTAGTGCCTTGGCCCTGCCAAATGTAACCCGTCCACTGTTCCATCACACATTCAGGTACTGGTACCTAGCCTTGCCAGACAGGCCCCCATCCATAGCCTTGGTGTGGACTGGTGTGTGGCAGTCAGTGATGTTCTGTGCTAATAACCCATCTCAGGATTCCCATGTGGGCTAGTGAATCAGTCTGGCCCAAATAGATCTTATGGACTCTCCACTCCAAACCACCAGGTATCAGCCTCACACTTGCCAGCAAGTTCTGTGACCCCCATCCTTGGGAATTACCAAGGATTCATCCCTCACCTACACTCACACTGGGCTTATCCAAGGCTGTCCCTAGGCTGCAATGACATACCTTAATGATTCCAAAGCTTGCAGCCAGCAGGCAGAACCTTGTGCCCAATGGGCACACTGGCTGCCCAAAGCCTAGGACTTGCTCAATGTGTGGCAGCAGTGGCCATGGCCTGAATCTCCAGCATTGGGTCTGGCCCTGGTCAGGCACCCTCTGTAGCAGCCATGCTGCAGGGCCTTAATCTAGTTCCCAAGCTTTCCTCATGGTTTACTTACTCTGAGGGAAGAAGTCTCTCGGGCCTGGAATCACCTAGGACTTGGTCACCATTTGGCGGCAGTGACCATGGCCTGAGTTGCCAGCATTGGGTCCGGCCTGGCTGGGGCACCCCCTGCAACAGCCATGCTGCAGGAGGCTCCTTTTGCCCCAGCCCCACGGCCAAACCTTGACATTGTTTTGATTAAGGTTCAAAAACATGATTTCTTGACTTGGCATTTTTACTCATTGGTTTAATCCAGAACCTGCAGGCTAATATCTCATATGAGTTCGAGTTCAAGTCTCTGCTCCTCCCCTTGCAACCCAGCTACCTGATAACTGCCTAATAAAGGAGGAGATGGTCAAAGTGCATGAGCCCTTGCCACCCGGGTGGAAGACCTGGATAGAGTTCCTGGTTTCTGTCTTCAGCCTGGCTTAGTCCCAGCTGGTATGGGCATTTGAGGAGAGAACCAGCAAATGAAAGATCCTCCTGTCTCTCCTTTTACTCTATTTCTCTTTAAAATTCTCCTTTGAAATAAATAATTAACAAATACTTAAAAATGTATTTTCTTAAACTTTGTTCTCATTAGTTCTTAAAATGTGTGAACAGTATGCCATTTGCACTCAATATAAAAATAAAAATATATGTGAGGGGTGAATGTTTAGCCTAGTGTTTGATACACTGCCTGCATCTTACCTTGGAATACCTGGATTTAATTCCTGGCTCAGGGAGATTATTGTCATCCATGCTAATGCTGATCTTGGGAAGTAGCAGGTATGGCTCAAGTCCTGCTTCCTTCCATCTCTAGGATGCCTGGACACATTCCCTGCTCCTTATCTCATGCATAGTATGGATTTGGGAAGTGAACTAGTGAATGGGAGCGTCTCTCTCTCAAATTTTATATATGTTTATGTTTTTAAAATGTATGCATGGATTTTTTTTATCATTTTCTACCCATTTAGATTCCCCTGAAAAGTAGAATGTTTCATTCACTGTAATGGTTGGAATATATTTTAAAGGTTTCAAGCACACAGATATATAGGAAAATGAGATAGAGCTACTTTAGTAATGTAAGTGAAAGGGGACAGATCTTTGTCATGGCACCATGATAACCTTGTGTGTATTCTGTGTAGACAGAGGCTTGGCATGCAGGTCTGTAGGTCAGACCTGATAAAGTTAATTTTGACACAGAGTTTCTGAGAATTTGAATTGTAAAAAAAAAAAAAAAAATGGGACAGAAGACAAAATGTGGCAGGTGATAAGCCATTTGGAAGATAGCAAGTTTTACATGGCCATAGTGATCGCAAGGGTGCAATTAGAGTGAAAAAGACCATTCCTGGAAAGAGTAGGAATTAATGGAGGACATGGGTCAGAGGCAGTCAAGTGAAGCTTAAGTGCTATATATGCTTGACACTTCAAGTTATATAGAGCTTTAAGCTTAGCATAAGTCCTTTCATTGTCTTTCTGAGATAGGTGTGCTTATTATTATTTTGTGACTGAGAAATGAATGTTTAGCATAAGCCTTGTACTATGTTTATTTATTATTATGCCCAACATAATAGAATATGATCCTGTTGGAACTAAAATTCATTATCTTATATCTCCAAGGCTTGTGCCTTACCTGGTAATTATACCTCTATTTCCTCACCATGGTACCCTACAATTATGAATGTTTTCCTGTATACATTTTAGTTGGGTCTCAGAATTCTTGAGATATATTAGTTCAGGCATCTTGTGGTCTCATTTTGCAGATAAAGAAAATGAAACAGAAAGTAGAGTTGACTAGATAAGTGGCAGCTAGAACTGCTTTCAGAACAGATCACACATAATTTCTGTGTCTACTTGCCTTTTCTGTTGTTGAATCTTCAATTTTCCATGCAGGTTTAGACTCTTTCATAAAACCTAACCTAAAGGGAGTAAAATAGGCTAAAGCAAAAGTCATTATAATCCATAACAAAATATTATGATTTAAATAATACTTGATAATTATTCTGATTGATGCATATAAGATGGTTAGGAGATTTGAACGAGAAGATTGTATCAGTGGTAAGGTGGATATATTAACATAATTTATTAACTGAGTTAAAATTCACTGTAAAATTGTAAGTGTCTTCATGAAGGTGAAAGTTTCAATATTTGAACTTTTCTCTCATAAACGTGCATGGGAGTAAAGTGCTGCTGTCCCTGTCCTACCAACACATATTATTTAAAATATTTGCCTTAGTTTGATAATATTTTAAAGATGGAAACCAAGCCTATGTTTTTATCCCAAATATTTGTGTTGGAAGTGCAACAGGGAAGAAGCTGCTGATAGTGTAGATGTTTTATGTTCCTTCAGTACTAAATAACTGGTGCAATTTTTGTTCTGAGATAAATGCCTATCAATTTCTTTTGTGTGCTATAACAAATGACCACAAACACCATTTAAACACATATACACACACGCGCGCTTGTTCATGTGTGTTTCAGTTATCCCTGTGTAGGCTAAAAATCTGCAGTTACTGTCAGCTGAAATTGAGGTGATAGGACCGTGATTCTTGTGAAGGTTTTAGGGAAGAATCTGTTCTTGTCTTTTTCAGCACTCCAGTTCTTACCTCTGGGGTTAACATTGATGATTTCTTCTTCTGTCTGTGTCAGAACTCACCTTCTGCCTTCTGTAAAGTGGATATTTGCTGCACTTAGATCATACTTGAACAATTAAGAAAATCTCTCCAATTTAAACTCCTTAGTCACATCAAAGGAGTGCAGTTTTGTTGCACAAAATATCTAGGAATTAGGGGTGAATGTTGGGGAGTCTTCTTCAGCCCAGTACAGTCCTTACTGTCTCTTTTTTCTTCTTATTTTTCTCAGCCCTTTTCTCCTTTTCTGTTTTTTTAATCTTTTATTTTGAATTCTTTTTTTTTTTAAATCTTCCAGAAACACAAAATGGTAGGTAGATTGGATGGACATAAACTGAATATCAGACTAAGGGTTCAGTGACTGTGATACAGATCAATAAATGATTCTTATTGCCCTAAACATGAAATACCGGATTCTGTTCACAGTAATTTTGTCATTGTTGTTGAATTAACTAACAGTAATAATATCCATGTAAAATTCAGCAACCTTTATCAAAGCAATTTTTAAAGCTTTTGAGAAAATTTTCCAATCAAAATATCTGTTGATTGAGTAGCATTTATATTATTTGTAATACTGAGAAAGCAGTTAAGTATAATGTTTCAAAATTAATTTCAATTCTAGTATGTTTTCCCCATTGTTTCCTTTTGTTTTATTAATAACTCAAATTTCAGTTTAAGAAACAAACAATGAAAGGGACTTGTTCAATTCCTTACAACGCTAAAAGCCTCTGTTTTAGTATTTAAAAGCCAATAGATAGGTAAATAAACAACTTTGATTCCTTTTGTACTATTTGTAAAATAGTCATTTTGGAAGATTATTCTGAAATAACTGTCCATGCTTTTTGTTCTTCTTTAGATGGACCACACATCCCCGACCTACATGCTTGCTAACTTAACCCACTTACATTCTGAACAACTTCTGCAGGGCTTGAATCTTCTTCGTCAGCATCACGAACTCTGTGACATCATTCTTCGAGTAGGTGATGTTAAAATTCACGCTCACAAAGTGGTGCTTGCCAGCATCAGTCCATATTTCAAAGCTATGTTCACTGGAAACCTTTCCGAAAAAGAGAATAGTGAAGTGGAGTTCCAGTGCATTGATGAAACTGCTCTGCAGGCCATTGTGGAGTATGCCTATACGGGGACTGTTTTTATTTCTCAGGACACAGTTGAATCTCTCCTTCCCGCAGCAAATCTACTGCAGATAAAACTTGTTCTGAAAGAATGCTGTGCGTTTCTTGAAAGCCAGCTTGATCCTGGTAATTGTATTGGAATTTCTCGTTTTGCAGAAACATATGGCTGTCATGACCTTTATTTGGCAGCCACTAAGTACATATGCCAGAATTTTGAAGCTGTTTGCCAGACTGAAGAGTTTTTTGAACTTACACATGCTGATTTGGATGAAATTGTCTCCAACGACTGCTTGAATGTAGCTACCGAAGAGACTGTTTTTTATGCATTGGAGTCCTGGATCAAGTATGATGTACAAGAGCGCCAGAAATACTTAGCACAGCTACTGAACAGCGTACGGTTACCTTTACTGAGTGTTAAGTTTCTCACTAGACTCTATGAAGCAAATCATCTGATTCGTGATGACCGCACTTGTAAGCAGCTTTTGAATGAAGCCCTAAAGTACCATTTTATGCCGGAACATAGACTGTCTCATCAGACAGTCTTGATGACGCGACCTCGCTGTGCTCCCAAAGTGCTTTGTGCAGTAGGTGGAAAATCTGGACTTTTTGCCTGTTTGGATAGGTAAATAAAACATTTTCTTAAAGATTGGATGCTGACAGATTTTATGCCTTTTATATATGCTCTCTGTATTTAAAGTAGTTTTATTTTTCATTTTACTTTTTTTTTGTCTTAAAATATTCATGTGGTTTTTTTAAATCACATTGCCATCTAATGTCTACAGTGCTGTCAGTTCTTAACTTTACACTTGCGTTTTTCTTCCTGTTCCTCACTAACTCATTTTCATTTTATGCCTTCCTTCTTTGTCTCCTGTCTTAAATAATTTGCGTATTTCTTTTTCTCAGACTAGGTTAGCTGTATCAGAATGCTGAAGAATAAAGATAACAAATTGTGATGTGGCAGATTGCAGTTAAGCAGAAGAACTATCAGATAAATGAAGAAAAATAGGATACTAACATAAATCATGAGCTTTATATATAATTTAATTCTTCAGTGTGAATAATTTGTAAAGACAGAAGTAGAAAGTACTTTTTTCATTACTTTGGAGTTTTGAGACTTTTCTATGAAGGCCTGACTGGCAGATGTTTTCACCCGTGAGCCATATGATCTTTCTCGCGTGTGATTGACTTAGCCATTGTAGTGTGTGAGCAGCCAAAGATAATTAAAAAATGAATAAGTACGGATTTATTAAAATACATATTTACAGAAATAACTGGTGATCTGCTTTTGGCCCATGAATACCTTTGGTCTAATTTAGAGCGTTGTATAAATACCTTTTATACACTGGACATGTATCTTGATGTGATTTTTGTCTTTTTCTTGGACAGGATTGCTTCAAGAAATCTTAAATGTTTGGCATACTTTTAATCTTGTGCACTTCTCTCTGGTCATTTCTAAGAGTTTGATAGATTGGATTTCCCTCCTCAATGATAGGTCAGGGATAGGAACTTATGGATGTTTCATTAGAGGGACTGAAAGAAAAAATGTCAGTGTATATTTTAATTGCAATCTAACTAGTATTGTTAAGATTGCACCGTTAATATGTCATTAGTATGGTAGCTGCAGAAATTGATTAAGCCTATTCATAACGGTATGGATTATTGGCATGACATAAATTATATTAGTCAAGTATCATGACAAAAGTTCCAAATATGGATGTTTATTGTAAAAAAAATTATAGTAATTACATATTGGGTTTTCAAATACTAAAAGTGACAAATTGTTGAAGAGTTATAAGAACTATTCATGCCTTTAAGCCTGGTAATTTTATAATAAAGTTTAAAAACTAAAATAGCATTTGCACAAAGGTGTTTATTACAGCATTAATTGTAACTATGGAAAAATTAGAATCAACACGAATGGTAAGTCAGTTTAATTCTACAAAATTTAAGAGTTCATATCCCAGTAAAGGAAATGAATATTTAAATGGATAATTATTATACACAGTAGTTATGCAGTAATGATAATACTATGTGAGTGTTAACTGGAGGCATTTATTCCATATGTGTGATCTTGGGAGCATGTGCATTCTGAGTCTTCAGGGCTCAGTTTAAGTCAGTTTAAAAGAGGAAGAGCACAGAATAATCCCAGAGAACTCAATAGCCTGATACTATATGGAATAGTAATAAAAAACTGTTTTTAGAAATTTATAGTTTTAATCAACAAATGTCTAGCAATGATTGACATAAATCATGAAGTTACTGAGTGCCATCATGAAAATGAGAATTTTAATGTGGGTTGCAAAACCACTTTTTGTAAGAGCAGTAAAATGATCAGATTTAGTTTTAGATTATGTTGACTGCATAATGGAAAAAAAAAGGTTATAGGGCAAGGGTTAACATCAGAGGGCTTAGGTAAGAGGCAGTTGTAGAAGTAAAAGCAAGCAGTTATGAGATTCTGAATTGGAATAAAAGTAGTAAAGACAGTAATACATTAGTGTAAGAAATGAAGAATGTAAATTGAACAGATTTGTCATTTCATATATTGGAGAGGGATTGTGAGGGGGAAGATTCCAAAATGAATACTGAATACTGTTTCTTTATTAGAGGTTTGTGAGTTTGATTATATATGGAGAGATTGGGAGAGAGAGAATATAAGAGGAAGAACCACTTTAATGGGGAGTAGGAATAATGTACTTAGTTTGGAACATTCTGAGTTTGAATTGCTTATGGAATACCCAAGTAAAGAGTGTCTCAGTGCTAGCCAGGTGTGAGTGCACAGCTCAAAGTTGTGATCTGAGCTTTTAAATTTTCAAAGTCATCAATAATGCAACCAGTAATGGCAAGATCCAGAAAGAAGAAGGTGAAAATTTGGCTGTTAGATTTAGCAATATGGAAATCATTTATGGCCTTTGTTGATCAGCAGAGCTATAGGAATGCTTTAGATACATTTCAGTGAGATAAGATGTGAAAATAAAGTAAGGAAATAGATTGTGGGCAAAGACGGTTATTTTAAGAGCCTTGACAAGGACAGAAAGGAGACTTAAGCAGTGACTGAGTTTCAGAGGAGACTTTTGTGTTGATTTTATTTTTTCCTTGAAGACAAAGATACGAACATGTTTATAATAATAAAGTTAATAATAATGTCAGTGAGGCAGGAAGGTGGAACAGATAAATATATAAGATAAAGGGGCAGTGACTAAAGGAATAAAATCTTAGAGGAAGTACAAGGAGTTTGTACAAATTGCTTCAAAAAGTTCATGGAAAATGGTGTGAAAGGATGAGTCCATTTTCACACAAAGTTTTTTTTAAATGCACGACTTTTTTTCCAAAATAAATATTTTCAGTGAAGTTTTTGAGGACTCCTGCAGATGCATGGATTTCAATTTTTTTTTGTACCAAAATAAACTTGTAGTTCCATTTTTGAGATTTTTGAAATAGCCTTGTAGAAAAAGTTGGCAACAAAAGCAAGACTAGGAGACTTTGAGTAGGAGGAAGACTGGGATACAGAAATAGGTTTACTGGGTGTTGGGACGGATGAGAAAGAAGTATATGACAGATCTGCCTGTCCAGTAGCCTCAGTCTTTCTCATTAGAAAAGGTTTTTAGAGAAGAAAGTGAAGAGTGGGATAGAGAGCCTAAGGAAATTGGAAGGAGATAATAAAATTGTTTCTGCCTAAACAGATCTGAAAACATTCATAAATATTATGCAAATACATTAAATACCAGAATAGGCCTTTAGCTGTAGCACTCACAGCATCACTCATGTCAGCATAGTAAATTCCAGGCCTAATTCTAAAAAAGAAAAACTCATTAGAACTGGTTGCTGTTTGCTTTCAAAAGCCCATCATGACTAATGTTTTTATATATTGCATTCATTTACTTAAATTTCTCTAGAATTCTATGACTTCCAAATAAAATATCATAAACTTTAGTCTTATTATTGCTGAGAGGTTTTCATATTCCTCCAACACCATCCAGTTTTCCAGTTCTCTAGCACCAACTGGATGCCTAAGAGTTCAATTCAGTCTTGACCTTAACTCTCAGTTAACCTGCACCCTAAATGTTAAAGGCTTTGCCTCAGAAGACTCTGCCTTCCTCATTCACCAGCCTTTGTCATCACCATGACTTCAGTGCATGCAAAATGGGTGTTGCAGACATTCTATTCTGCCACTTGTATTTCCAGATTTTTTATTTCAGAACATACACTCAGCTATGCTTTGAAACATGGTCATCCCAGTTCATGTGTTAGAAACTTTATTCCCAATACAATAGTGTTTACAGATAGGATTTTGAGGAAGTGATTAGATCTTAGTGTTTACAGATAGGATTTTTAGGAAGTGATTAGATCTTGGGAGTACTGCCTTTATGAATACATTAAGGCCACTAACTCAGGAGTGGATTAGTTCTAGCAGGAATAGGATAGTTATAAAAGGGGTAAATTTGATGTGCTTTCTCACTGTGTGATACCTTCTCTGCGTGATAAATGTGGAGATGACCCTCACCAAATGCCACTCTGAAGTCTTGGTTTTCCCAGTCTTTAGAGCCATAAGCCAAAGAAATTTCTGTTGTTTATGATTTAGCCAGTCTTCGGTATTCTGTTATACTATTAGGCTAAGAAAATTGCTACCAAGAAGTAGGACTGTTACTGTAAAAAAAAAAAAAATGCTTGAAAATATGGACGCAGCCTTGGAACTTGGCAATGGGTAGATAATAGGAGATTTTGGAAGAGCGGTTAGAAAATGTCTAGACTGCTGTGAGCACAGCAAGAAGGGCAAATCTGGTGAGGACTAGGACTAAGAGAGCTATAGATCAAGTCTGAATCTAAATTACTTAAGTGGTTATGATGACAATGTTGGTAGATATATAATCGGTTAAGGCCAGGATGATGAGACCTCAAGTAAACATAAGGAATTGGAAACAAATAAATCATTTGCTGAAGAGATTAGCATGAACAGAATGTTCCTTGGTCATAGTCCCAGGGTGCTCTACATGGGCTCACTGCCCTCAGCTACCCTGGATCTCTGCTCCCTGCATTCTGATCTGGTACTCTTCAGCCACACAATTGTGGCTCAAATGAGTTCCAGGTATGATGACCTCCTTCTCCAGAAGTGACAAATTCTAAACTGTTTCAACATGTGCATGATGTAAATTCTGTAGGCACACAGAATGCAAGAACTGGGCGAGTATAGCTCCCTCTCCCTAGATTTCAAAAGACATGATGGTCAGGTTGAGGGCCCAGTGAGAGACAGTAATGCTATATGTAAAGATATGTTTCTCAGAACGTTTTTCCCCACTAAACAATGAGTTATAAAATTGTCGGTTCAGGTAGCAATACACTTTCATTTCTATGTGGTGATTTGTCATATAAATATAATACAGTATCATCTTTTTGTAATGAAAATTGTAATTCTGATTATTAAAGTTACACGCATCCAGAAACGTGTACAAATCCCACATGTCTAGCTCAGTAAATTACCAGAAGATACGTATTACGGCTCAGGTCAAGATACAAAACATGCCCACCCCAGAAAAGCCGTCCTTCAACTCCCTCCCCTAAGGTAACCATTATCCTCATTTCTGACCCAGAGATTAGTCTACCTGTTTTTGAACTTGATATAAGTGAAATTATAAGGAATTATATTTTTTGAATTTGAGTTCTTTCTCTCAACTTCAAGCATGTAAAATCCACCCCATTGTATGCGGCTGAAATTTGTTTTCTTTGGTGTATAGTATCCTCTGAGTTGAAATTACATGGCTTACTTATCCATTACTGTGATTGATGAACACTTGGGTGGTTTTTGGGCTTTGACTGTTTAATAGTAATAGTGCTGTGAGCATGCTTTGACATACACAGTCATGCATTTCTCGTGAGTACATATTAGTGAGATAGCTCTGGTAAAAGAGAACACATCCTATTATTATCATGCTTCTTATGAGGAGAGATTGTTGTGTAATACTTCTATGAACTTTCTACATATGTGTTCTGGTGCAAAAAAAAACTATAAGAGGACTCCATGGAGTAGGTATACAGGAATGAAATTGCTGAATCTGGGCATCTGTGCAACTTCCATTTTATTTGAGAATGTAAACTTTTTTTTTTCCAGAGTAGTTTGTGCAAGTTAAAAGCATTCCTTGTTCTACACTCTTGCCAACAGTTGTTATTATGTAACTTGACATTTTTGCCAGTCTGTAAAATGTGTTATGTTTTACTCTGGCTGTAATTTGCATGTCGTTGAATACCAATTATACTAACCCTTTTTGGTTTATGGACTATTTCCATTTTTAAAATGTATTTTTTATCTGCTTATTCTGCAGTGTGGAGATGTACTTTCCTCAGAATGACTCTTGGATTGGCTTGGCACCACTAAACATCCCTCGCTATGAATTTGGAATATGTGTTTTAGACCAAAAAGTATATGTTATAGGTGGTATTGAAACTAATGTGCGTCCTGGATTCACTATCAGAAAGCATGAAAATTCAGTCGAATGCTGGAATCCTGATACAAATACCTGGACTTCTCTAGAGAGAATGAATGAAAGCAGAAGTACCCTTGGAGTCGCAGTACTTGCAGGAGAACTGTATGCGTTAGGTGGTTATGATGGACAGTCTTATTTACAATCTGTAGAGAAGTATATCCCCAAAATAAGACAGTGGCAACCTGTGGCACCAATGACTACAACAAGAAGTTGCTTTGCTGCAGCTGTCTTAGATGGAATGATATATGCCATTGGTGGATATGGTCCTGCACACATGAACAGGTATTTAACTTACATTAATGACAGTTTCTGAGTCTTACGCAACTTTGTGTATGAATGAATTTTATTTTTGAATATCTTAAGAGGAGGTTTTTGATAAAATGAATCTGCTTTGTGAATATGATTTTTGTTTTATGTGGTTATTCAGTGCTTTCTTAATCTCCCCTAAAACAATCAAATCCCTCATACTAAATTTTGCATGTATTCATTTACTATAAATCAACTAGATTTCAAAACTCAAATTGTGACAAAGTTAGCTTTAAATTTTACAAGGTGGTATATGTATATGGTATAGTCTTTCATTTCAGTGCTTAATAATGAAAATATAATTTCTGCATGCCAACCCAATTTTATAATGTACCATAAATTTAAACCCTTATTTAAATCTTTCTTGCTGAACTCTTCATTTTCTAAGCATGCATATACCATTATGTATCTGAGTTGTGTTAGTCTTCATTAGAGATTTCTGTGTTTTTTTAAAGACTTGTCATTTTTATTGCAAAGTAAGATTATATACAGAGAGGAGGAGACACAGAGGAAAATCTGCCAACCAATGATTCACTCCCCAAGTGACTGCAATGGCCAGAGCTGCACGATCCAAAGCCAGGAGCCAGGAATTTCCTCTAGGTCTCCCACGTGGGTGCAGTATCCCAAGGCCTTGGGTCGTCCTCAGCTGGTTTCCCAGCCACAAGCAGGGAGCTGGATGAACCTGCACCCATGTTCTAATGGCAATCTTGGTGCATTCAAGGCAAGGACTTCAGGCACTAGAGTGCTGTGCCAGGCCCCGAGATTTCTGGTCTTTAGTCTGTATTTTTCAAGGAGAAAAGAAATATTTGAGAAAGTAAAAATAATAAGTTACTGCTCATGTCATGTTTTTAGTTGTAAGTTTGAAGCTTCATAACAACAATCATATGAAGGAGTTCATGTCTAATGGTTAATTAAAGTGACATGTATTTTATTGGGGTTTTTTTCTTTGACATCTTAAAAATATTTTATTATTTATTTTTAAGATTGATTTATTTATGTAGGAAAGTCGTATTTACAGACAGAAAGATCTTGTATCTGCTCACTCACTCCTCAAGTGGCCACAATGGCCAGAGCTGAACCAATCTGAAACCAGAGAGCCAGGAGCTTCTTCTGGGTCTCCCACATGGGTGCAGGGTCCCAAGGCTTTGGGCCGACCTCAACTGCTTTCCCAACCACAGGCAGGGAGCTGGATGGGAAGTAGAGCGGCCAGGACATGAACTAGTGCCCATATGGAATCCAGGCACATGCAAGTGGTAGACTTTAGCTGCTGCACTACCACACCAGATCCAGTTATTGGCATTTTAATGAAAACAATGTGTATTTTATTTCTAACTAAATCAGGAATGTTGGCACACTAACATTTCATATATACATCTTTATTTCAATTTCAGTTATTCTCTTAAAAATGTTCTGGAGTTGAAGGAAAAGCATTCCAGGCCAGTATTTCTATTGTTTGAAAAGCCTCTGGCAAAAGTTTATAAAATATTTAGTACTTTAATTATCAGATCTATTCTTGAAATCAGGTTTATGTCAGCTCATTCCAACAATCTTATCAACACAATGTTAAACATTTAGAACAAGCTCTTCTTGTTTTATCTTTGTTTATTTTAACTTTGAAAACCAAGGTGGGATTTAGTTTTGCTTTGGCAGGAAGAGTAACCTAAAGTGCCTGTGAATTAATTTATTCTTTTGTGAACGTTTGCAGCGTGGAGCGTTACGATCCGAGTAAGGACTGCTGGGAGATGGTTGCATCCATGGCAGATAAAAGGATTCACTTTGGTGTGGGTGTCATGCTAGGCTTTATTTTTGTAGTGGGTGGACATAATGGCGTCTCGCATTTGTCAAGCATTGAACGATATGACCCCCACCAAAATCAGTGGACTGTGTGCAGACCAATGCAAGAACCCAGAACAGGTAATAACTGTATTACTTTCTAAACATTTAAGGCATTGCCCTTCTTGGAATGTAAGAATAAGGTGTTACCTATTCAGAAAAAGAAATTGTGGCAATCGTGAATACAGCTAACTAGACAAATTTAAATTCAGCTGGCTGGACAAAATTAAAACTTCCTCACTCTAATTTTAATCCACTGCTGTGCATGTTCATCATTCTCAACAGCAGTACAGTTTATATTACTGCATGCCCCTTTTAGATTGTTGAGCCTTATCTAAGTGTACATCAGTATTCCTGTGTGTTGACTTGCAAATGGTTTAAAAGGTTGGATTGCAAAATTCATAGGGATACAAAAATGTAACTGAAGGTGTAAGAAATTGTTGCCTTTGACAAAAACCCAAATCACATTATTTTAAGGGACAGGTTTCAAATTACTGACGGAAATGCTTTAGGATCATATTCTTTCTATTTATTAAAGAAACTCTTGAAGCAAACAATCGAATAACAATGTGTAGTGAGCTAGTCCAGTGTTTACCATAATTAATCTTTTTGGTATCTTTGCCAGGGAAAACCGTATTAATGGAGAAGACTTTTAAAAATCTGTATGGGCTTATTGTTTTTATATTTCTACATGACAATTCCAAGGTAGAATTTTTCAAGATATAAATTATCAATAGATTTCAGTTGTGTTTAAAATCAGATTAAAATGAATAACTTCTAGAGAAACACATGTAATTGAAAACTTGGGTGTATATTCTCATAGATAAACTGTGTAATGGAGACTAGCAGACTGGGAAGTGAATATATGATGCAGTAAGCATCTCCTCCCAAATATAAGAACTCCCAATAAAACTGGTAACTATACCTTGACAATAGGATACTAGGCTTTGTACCATTGTCTGTTCCTACAATGCCAATAGCAGAATGTTAGACTTGTAATTGTTGCTTAAGGACTGAATTTTTTTAAGTTTTATTTATTTTTATTGCAAAGTCAGATATACAGAAAAAAGCAGAGAGAGGAAGATCTTCCGTCTGATTATTCACTCCCCAAGCGGCTGCAACTGCGATTGCTGTGCCACTCCAAAACCAGGAGCCAGGAGCTTTCTCTGGGTCTCCTACATGAGTGCAGGGTCCCAAGGCTTTGGGCCATCCTCGACTGCTTTCCCAGCCACAGGCAGAGAGCTGGATGGAAAGCTGGGGTGCCGGGATTGGAACTGGTGCCCATACGGGATCCTGGCGCATTCAAGATGAGGACTTTAGCAGTTAGGCTATCATGCTGGGCCTGGACTAAATTTTTTAACAGTCATTTCCTGTCGTTGAGATACAAGAAAAGTAGAGTTAGAAGAGGTGAAGGAAGATTTTTGTTGTTCTTGTTAATGAGACTTTCTCCCAGCACATATTGCTATACTTGGTAGAATAATGATGGTTGGTCGTTCCGACCAGCAAAGTCAGTAACAGGGGATGAACCAGTGATTGTGTACGTCTCTCTCAAGTCTCCCTTTATATTCCTTTTATACTCCCCCCACCCACCCAACTCCGCCCCCAGTTCTTTAGGCAAACCATAGGATGCCGCTGAGTCTGATTAGTCCAGGTGTTAGCAGCAAGCCCATTTCCTGTTACTGCTCAGCTTTAAGGAGCACTAATTAACTCCTTAGCCCATAAGAGTTGGTTGTTAAAATATATTTAAGAAAGTATAACAAAATGCCATTTATTGCTGGTGGGAAAGGATCTACGCCATGGTTAACATGTTTCCTTCTCTGCACACGCCTTTCCTAGGAGTGGGTGCTGCAGTCATTGATAATTACCTTTATGTCGTCGGAGGTCACTCAGGATCTTCCTATCTGAATACAGTGCAGAAGTATGACCCTGTCTCAGATACATGGCTGGATTCGGCTGGCATGATATACTGTCGCTGCAACTTTGGATTAACTGCACTTTGACACGTGTGACTACTCAGAAATCATGTGAAGGTGAAACTTGTGCCGCATGAAAGGATGCCCAGCTTTCTGAAACCCAAAAGCTGCATTGCTGTCTTTTTAACTTGAAATGGCATGAAGACTCAAAAGTTCTTTTGGGTACTTTGAATTCAGAAGTAGTTACGGTTGCTCTTGATTACATAGTAAAACAATAATCAAAAAGGAAAAGACAAAAAATAAAGGAGAGACCCTTCCAATTGAATCATGCACTTTTTTGCCCCTAAGACTGGCATAGACTAATTTTATGTTTCTAAATGTACATGTAGAAAAAAAAAATCTCACTGCTTGTTTTACTTTTTTAATTTTAACTTCCCTCCTTAATATATCCCATGATCTACCAGGGTGAAAGATGCTTTACATTCTGAGCATATTGAATGACACTGCCTGTTGGACATAAGTTCATATGCTTTACATTTTTTAAAACAAAGGGCTGCCTTTTGGTACTTCGGAGGGTTTTAAACGACATGTCATTGTGAGTCATCTGAATGCTTTCCTGCTAAGAGATTTTAGGGTTTATACTACGTTTGTAAGACAGCTGCTTTTACTCTCATGACATTTGGGGCCATATTTTAAGAAATCAGATATGCCTTTGATAAATTGAGTTACCCATCTATACATGATAACCATGGATAGAATGAATCATATCAGTTATTTCAGGATTTTTTTTTTTAGCAAGTGGTAAGAGGAAGCGTTCCAGTATGGTATAAATATGCAAGATATGTTTTAGAACCTCCCTTTAGAATATTAGTTTTTCATATATCCTTATAATTCTATTTTTTTAAAGATTTTTGTTTGCTTTTTCAAAGTATTCAGATAAAAATGGTGCTAACTGTGGGATCTGTAACAGGCTATAACCAATGTTCTTTGGGATGTTCAGTGTGAGGTATGCATGACAGTTTGGTGGTCTTTTGCATTTTCATTAGCTTGATTCATTTGTGCTTATTAAAAATGTCAATTATTTACGCTGATGTCAACATGCCTATGTTATGCTTTCATGGTTCCTGTATAGTGATTTAAAGAGAGATGCATACTTTGATCTTCTTTCTTCTTGTGCTAGATGTGACACATCCTTCTTAAAATCAGAAATGTATGCATTGAATATAAAGCACTAGACAGTTATGCATTACTTTGTATACTTCCTAGGTAATTTAAAATATTGAAATTACTGAGGAAAACTGGAACTTGATGTTTACTTGAGTAGTGATTCTAAATTTAGTTCTCTTTTGATTAGAGAAAGTTTTTTTAAGCAGAATTGTTTGCATTGCCAGTGACAGCTTATTTAAAAGAGGAGTTAACTTATTTTATTTTAGCATGTTTTAGTAAATGTTGTAAGTCCTAAACACATTAACCTGCATTTTATTATGAGGTTGGTACTTATATTTTGGTACTGTAGTAACTTTGTTTTCCTTTTCTTTATTTTTTTTTAACCTGGCCTGTTATTTCCTTAAAACGTCTCTGCAAGAGCAGTGTACATTTTTTATTCTTAAACATTCATTCTGCATTAAGTGCCATAATGTTCTTAAAAAATTCTTAAGAAGCCATTTGTAACTATAAAACATGGATTCATTTTTTAAAAGTATGTTTTGCTTCATGAGGAAATTTATTGTTTTCCTGTTCTTCCAAAATTGCCAGTTGTTTGACTATATACTATAAAATTATGTAAAATCATATTTAATCTTCAAAGTAGTTTCATGCTTTATGAATGTTTGCACACACAGATAATAAAACCTTGCAAGTAATTTTTACTCTGTTAATGTAGACCTCAGCAGGAGCTCCTAATAAAATCAACAGCCTGAGTATTCTCTATGTTGCTTGTTGAATAACATAATATATAGCAATAACTTTTCATTGCTTTGAATACATCTTTTGAATAGAAATAAGATGCACTATTGTAGTTGGTCTGTACATTAAAGAAAAGCGATTTAAAATATCTTATTGTATACTTATTTTTACGTCCACAATTTTCTTTAATTATTTTATTGTTATAAATAATGTTATTCTGGTTTTAAACCCTATCTCCCAAATTATAAGGTAATCTGGAAGACTACGGAGAATTATTTTAATTAAGAACCACATTTATACCATACATTTTCTTTTACATTGTTTTATTTGCATAGCATCTCTGCTATCCAGTTAGTATAAAATATATAATCATTTGGCAAATTAGATCAAAACCATGTACTGATCATTAAAAAAAAACCAGATTTCATCTTGGTTAAGATTAATGTGAAACATCTTAGGCAATAGTAGGAGCCATATACCAATGAACAACTTAAGAAAATCTGTGAAGGGAACAGAAAATGAATCAAAAAGTTCAAATATATTTATTTTAGAATGCTCAACCTACTCTAGTATTCAAAACAACCAGAGCTTCTAATATGACCTGACAACATGTTTACAATAAAGCTTCTCTTAAATTTTCAGATATTTTAGTGTGAATACGTGTTGCTGACAAATTATGAATTTAAAGTCATATTTTTTATGTTAAAAAGGATCAACATGTTTAATTATAGAACCACAGGGTTATAGGTATTAGAAATAATTATTCATATTCAGGTAAAAAGGAGAAAGCTACTAAGGATTGCCCATAAATATTCTGGAAAATAATGGTAATGAGGACTAGAAATTAACCAGCTATAAGATAATTCCTTTCTATAATTATGTCATAAAACTTAACTCTGTTAGGAATATTTTACTATTTGATGTTTGTTGGATGTAATAATGGGAAGTGATTTGGATGTAATCCAAATATTTACAAGTTGTATATGTTGTAGCTAATGTTGGTTTAACTATCAGTGATTTTTAAATTGTAGGAACTAGCATGAGGTGATAGGAAAATGGCATTGGATGGTGGAAATTAATAGTTTGACATAAGGAACTACTGTAAGTATGAATAACATGCTCTATGCTACAAGATCTAGAAATGCAAGCAAGCTATATTCTTCACTCAGATTAACATCTGGTGTGAGAGACCTGTAACCTATACTCAAGTAATTGTGGTAGAAGAGGGTGAATCTAATTCCTTATCTCCAGTAGCATAAGAAGTGATTACAACCTAGCTTAAATATATCAAATTCCTTAGTATCTAATTGCGTTTTAATGGCATGAGCAAGAATTGTGAGAAACCTAATGTTTATAGAGCTCCCATTTTCTGGAAATGGATAATGTGTATTTTCAAGTAGAAAAACAAAATAGACAAAATTTTAAAAATAGCTATTTCCTAGTGTCAGGCTCTGGCTAACATTGAAGGAGTACATATATGTCTATAATAATGATATGTTTATTTTCAGTTTTGGTATTGGATTCCTGGTATTGTCACCTAAGTGCTCATTTTCAAGAAAATCAGATCCTATAATAAACTTATTGCTTAAAGTTGAATAAACTTGTGATAACCTCTATAACCTCTGTAATCTAAAATGTAAGCAATTATTAGATGCCACATGTTAACATCCAGTTCTCCTTCTTAACTTTTTCCCTTTATCAGCAGCACTTTAATTAGACATGATTCATTAGATAATGATTATTCTGTGGCTGTACTCATTATTGGATTTTTACTTAAGGTATATTCATTCAGTGTTGATACACATTTGAAAAATGTAAGAAGTACAATGTTTCAAATATAGGTTTACAAATTTTCTTATTGATGTGAATATGGAGCCAAACTCCAGTTTACATCTCTGCATAGAGAAAAATTATCCATATGTGTTTTATATTATACATATTTAACTAGAGGTGATTTATTATTTTGTTAAGTTTTCATGTGTAAGTCCCATTTATTTTAAAATACCAAGCAAAAAGTTACAAGTTTGCCTTAAAATACAAGTGAAATCAAAGAACTGGATGATAATGCCTATATTTTTGCCTTATGAATTGTGCTGTATCATAAACCAGAGAGGGTTTTGATTTTAACAGGATTCTGAAATTTTGTAGATGAAGAGTACTTATATTTGTACTCTCTTGCAAAGAATGTGATCTAGTGGATTATGTCAGTGTTTAAATGTTTTTTATCTGCATTTTACCTCTTAAATATGTACCTTTTTAGCATCAGGGTTTTATTTTTATTTTTGTTTACATGGTAAAGTGGCATTTAACTTGTTGAAGATTCTAATCTTTTGTCTTTTATTTTTAAAGTTCTTGGTGTATATTATTGTGGAAATGTTCTGTAATGATTATAAGTTTCATTCAATGTGAAATCTTTAAAATAAAATTGAAAAACTGAAATATGTGTAATGTGCTTATTGTGGACATGAAGCAAGCTTAATTTTGTCATGTTCAACTCATAGATTTGTTTTGGTGGATAGGCAGTGGACTCAAAAATAGGGTGGTGGGGGCTGCAAACGTGAAGACTGGGCTCAACTCCCACTTCCAGCTAACGACTCAAGCTTCCTGCCAGCGCAGACCTTGGTATGCAGTAGCAATGGTCCAAGTGGTTTGCTTCTCGTCACCCATGTAAGACCATGGCGCAGCCCTCGCCACACCCTGGATATCACAGGCATTTGTAGGCTGGGCCAGGGGATGAGAGCTCTGTGGAGAGGAGTGTGTGTCTCTCTTTTAAACAAACTTTAAAAAAAGAAGTTGTAATGGGTGTGGGATGGCCACTCCTTCACGTCTTCATCACCAGTGTTATATTGAAAACACATCTCAGGCCAAATTCACAAGGTCAGACATTTATTAAAGAAACATGCATTAACAAAGCAGGCACAAAAGTTCACTCAGTGAACTCATTGCATTCCCAGGTGTCTGTCCTTTCAGATTCTCTAGCCAGCTTTTTAGAAAAGGTTTACTTGAACAGACAGGGCAGTGTTTTCAAAGATTTCATTACTTTATGAGCAGAATCAAGAAGCTAGCAGTCCTGGAGAAAGGATTATAAACAAAGCCATTGAGATCCAGATGCTATCACTCAGAAGTTGTAAATGAACACACCTGAATGGGTTCAATCTTGATTTTCATTAGTAGGAGCAACTTTCTGGTACCATGTTAATTTATCAGCCACTTTCCCAGTACATATTCCTGACAATGAGTATGTTAATTCCCACAATATTTGGTGTCAGATTATGGATTACAAGCAGTTGCCTTGAGTGGGTTTTCTTTTAGCCAACATACTACTTGGAATTGAAGTTGGGATTTTACAGATATCCTGAGAAAGATGAAAAATTTTGAATAAATATATGTAAATACATGAAGTACAAATGTATATGCAAGGTGTTGCAAATGAAAAACTACATAAATGTGCATTTTGAAAGTAATGCATGGTGAAATACTAAAATCAAGATTTCCTGGCTGACTCTTTAGGTTTTATTTTCAAAGATTCATTTTATTTTTATTGCAAAATTAGATATCTATAGAGAGGAGGAGAGACAGAAAGGAAGAGCTTCAATCTGATGATTCACTCCCCAAGTGACTGCAACACCTGGAACTGTGCCAATCCAAAGCCAGGAGCCAGGAGCTCTTCCGGGTCTCCTACATGGCTGCAGGGTCCCAAGGCTTTGGGCCATCCTTGACTGCTTTCCCAGGCCCCAGGAGGGAGCTGGATAGGAAGTGGGGCTGCCGGGATTAGAACCGGTACCCTTATGGGACCCCAGCACGTGCAAGGTTAGGATTTAACCGATAGGCCACTGTGCCAGGCCCAGTTCTATATTTTTTCTAAGGCACGTATAGGCACAGATAGCTCTGTTACTCAGAAGTCACTGTGCAAAATGTGTCGGCAGTTAGGTGAAACTAGTGCAAGACTTGCTGCAAGTTCTGGTGAACAGATGTAATATAAGTTAAACTCCTACAGTCTATTTGAGAAATAGAAAACATCAGAGAGTGGCACAGAAGAAAGTGTTACTCTGGCAAAGCTCCATTTATGCTTCCTGAATTGTTTCACAAAATTACTAGATGGTTGTCTTGTTTGGAACAGTAATGAAGATGGAAATTCCAACACTTAATTTGAAAATTCTATGATGGATAGATTATAACAGCCATACTGGAATGGAATGATTCTTATTTTTGCATCCAGCAGATATAAAAAAGCCCTTCTATTGCAGTTCCAGTACCCAAGGCTAAAAAGTCAGTGTTAGGTCCTGTGGTGAAGACATGGTGTTAGGATCTAGTAAGTTTTTATATGTGCTTCTCTTATTTTTTTTAATAGAAATGTAATCTCTGCATATTCATCACATAGCTTCAACTACTAAACTTATTTTTCTAATCCTACTTCATCCCTTCACAAGCATTTTTGTTTTTGAAAATCCCAGACAGGATGTGATGTGGCTAGTTAGTAACTCTAGAGGTTGTATCTCTGATAGACACTAAAAATACTTTCTGTAAGTCCTGGTGATGTAGTCACACTCAAAAAATGCCTTTGTAATATTTAATATTTAATATCCAATCACACTGGAGCCATCTTAGGGTATTTCTAACACTTTTCAAGTTTCCTAGAAACTGTAGATATAGACTCTTCATTAGATGTATTATTTTATTTTGGCCAGCATAGTTAATGTACATACTTTCCATTGCCTTGTGTCAGAAAATATGTCTGATTTGAACTTCTGGCAGTTCAATAAACTTGTTAAGGACCTGGATTTCTAGGCTTTTTCAAAAAGATGGAGAAACAGAGAAGGATTCCATAACAATTTGGGAGGAAGCAGGTGAAGAAACTCGGAGTCATCTTACCAGTATTTTACCTGGGATGCTGTGTGCTAAGGAAGGGTACAGCTGGTTTTTAGAAAGGCGTCATAGCTCTATGTTTTCTCCAATCTTTGAGTGTAGGTATGTTAGAGAACAGAAGGAACATTAGATGTGCCTCACCAAAATTAACAAATGTGGCTGCTACTTTATAGCCACAAAGTTTAGGTTATGGTTCTTTCTCTGTAGGTACTCTGCATTTCATACTAAGGAGTGTCTCCTACTCAGTGCCCACTAAGAACAAAGCAAGAACCAAGACAGTCCCTCTAGAAGTCCAGTATTTAAAGATGGGTCATTCCAAGTGACCCTCTTATTTTCCTCTTCCCCTTTATCAAAAATAGACATTTTGACATTATTATTGCTTTTATGGGTTATTCTAGATGCAATTTTTATTTGAATGTTTGGGATTCTTTTTTTTTCCCCTAAGATTTATTTTTATTGGAAAAGTAGGTTTACAGAGAGGACAGAGAGAAAGATCTTTCATCCTCTGGTTCACTCCCCAAGTGGCCAGAGATGATCCAAACTTAGGAGCTAGAAGCCAGGAGCTTCTTCCAGGTCTTTGGAGTCTCCCACATGGGTTCAGGGTCCCAAGAACTTGGGCCACCCTCTGCTGCCTGCCCAGGCCACAAGCAAGTAGCTGAATGGGAAGTGGAGTATCTAAGACATCAACTAGCACCTAGAAGGGATGCCAACGCTTGCAGGTGGAGGATTAGCTTGTTAACCCATGGTGCCAGTTCCCCTCCCCCTCTTCCCCTGCCAAATTCTTTTACTTGTGAGGTTTATGACATTCTAATGGAAACTAAAAGTGGTTTGACTTTGGGGTAGAATCAGAAGTAACAGAACCTTATAATTGTCCTTGAACTTACAAGCTGAATAATCTATAATCTATTTCTTCTATAAATATTCCCCAGGAAGGCTAGGCTTCAACTTGTAAAGCCTATTTCAAAGACTTCACAGTGGTTGTCTGGAGTTGCCCTTTTCACAAACTCACAAAACTTCAGGTGCCAATTCTGTCACAGTACTTCCCTCTGTAGAGCCATCCTGGATTTACTCATCATCCCTCCTATAGTCATGAACTTTCTTCTCGGGCAATTACATTTATTAGAAAATGCAAATAGTAGATGCTCAGTAAGTAAGCATTAATAACAGTAGAGAAAGTATGCCTGATAAAATGTTAGCTGACTTGGGTAAAGATTTTCCCAGCTAGCTGCCGTTTCCTCCAAGGGTCAACCTAATCTCTTGACCAACTCAGCTCTCCTGACATGTTCCCTTCTTCTTCACATTCTTTTCTCTTGTTTTAAAGTTCCTATATATCAGTTATGTACAGCTGTTTGTGGGGGTAGGGAGGGGAAGATACTTTCTCTGTGAAAAGTCCTTCAGCCAGCTAATACATTCAACATCTTATGGGATTAAAAACAATATGCCAATATAATACTAAATGCAATGTAGTATATGTATGCAACATAAACTGATGAAGTAAGATAATTAGCATTTCCATTTCCTTTCTTTATGCTGGTGACTGTATCTTCTTGTCCTTTATATAGTGAGCTATAATCACTTTACTTCAGTGTATTTTATTCATTTTATTTCCATGTCAGATTGATAGCCATAAGGAAAAACTATATGTGCTTTGGGATAATTTATACTATTAGAGTCTTGCTTCCCAACTCTAGCATCTGGGATATGAGATACAGATATTTTAAGGGGATGAGATCTTCATAAACTGTTAGGTTTTTGATGTTTGAGAAAATGAAACTGTTTCTGAAGGCAAGTTTCCAGGTGGGAAATGACTGCCTAGTTGGCTGCAGCAAGATTGTCTGAGTCTCACTGACCTCTTGGAGTTTTCTCAGGTACTCTGTCATCACCCAGGCAACCTCCAGGAGTACAGACTTTTCCTGTCAAGCCCCCCCACTCCTTGGTTCTTAGTTCTCTTCAGTCCTACAGAACCATGCGGGAGTTTCTTTTTAAAAACATTTACTTATTTTTACTTTAAAAGGTTAGAGAGGACAGAGGGACAGAGATATCTTCCATCTGCAGGTTCACTCCTCAAATGGCCACAAAGGTCAGAGAGCTGGGCTGGTTCGAAGCTGAACCAGGAACTTCTGGGCTTCCCAAGGGGGTGAGGGTCTTACAGACTTGGACCATTAGCAGATTGAAAGCGGAACAGCTAGGATTAGAACTGGCATGCTGCAGGCAGATGATTGGCCCAAGAAGTCACCATAACAGCCCCAGGCTGTTTCCGAAAAAAATTCTTGGCATGGTCTAGTGATCACCACTGGGCTGAGAAATGATGGATGATCTCTACTATTTCCTGTACCCACTCCCAATACTTAACAATTTACATATTTTACAATCATTCTAGAAAGATGAGGCTTCACAAAACTTAAAGAGGAACCAAGTAATAGAAATAAAAGTCACACAGCGTAGCAAGTTTCTACTTCTACCATAGTTAACTTGTCTAGTTAGTCTGCTAAAGCTTCTTTTCTGTTCCACGTGCTGAGGTCCAGTGAGGCTCATTTTTTTTTTTTTTCACTTTTAAGTGATATTCTTGATCCTTTAAAAAACACCATATTAGGAAATAATCTACCCGCTCATATTGAAGGAGGTACCATATTGAAGGAGTCATTGAGCTAGAATGGGCTCCCTCTCTTTCTCTTCATCAATTTTCTCAGAGAAAAAGTTGATATTTCCAGGGGATCAGATTAAATTTTAGGTTAAGGGAGGACCTGAAGCCACTTATGCTTCTGTGTAACCTTTGAGACTGGTAATTATCATGCCTTGCATTCTCATACAGTTCAAGATCAGAGGACAGAGGGTAGCACACATTCACTCAAGCTCTTCACTAAATGCACCTTAACAATCTCCCTGAAGGCTTCATATTTCCATTCTACCACCATAGGGATTAAATCCAACATGAATTTTGAAGAAGACATTATTCAAACTGCAGCAAGTGAAGAGGCTCTCCACTTGCCCAGTGTTTGAGCCCTAAGCCATGTGGAGAGGATCTAGGAAACCCTGGCAGGCGAGAAGTTTAAGACCTATAGATGAGAGTCTTAATAACATGAACTTTAAAACCCGCACAGAATTGCAGGGCTAAATTTGATGCTGACTTCAAACACTAAAACATTAATAAAGATAAGAACATAAATGTTTGCTTTGGCCATAGTTTAGTAATACTAATTATAGTAATTTTACATGAATTGCTTACTTCTGCCAACTTAAGTTGCATTAGTTAAACAAAATTGTTATTTAATTATAAAACTCAGTTGTTCATAACCCTGGCATGTACAGCTTATACTTCTTGTATACAGTCATAATACTTCTTGCTTAATTTGCTTGTTTCTTTACACTATAAGAAAAAATAAATACAGCCTTTATCCCTGTAAGCCTGCCTATGGGAAGCAAAATTTCAGGCTTAATTTTTTTCCTCTATCAATGAACCAGATCTAGTGATAATGAGTCAGACATTAAACCAAACTAAAGCATGCATAAATGAAAAGCTACTTTGAAGAAATACTGTTTCTTTGTAGCTGATGGAGACCAACAATTTTCTTCACTGAAGTGAACCAAGTTAGTGATCCCTCCATGGATTTATTCTTAGTCTTCGTGAGTATGGCCAAAGTTTCAGCTGTTTTCGCCTAGTAGCGGTTTGTGGTAGGTATAAGAATTTTGTTAATTCTCTCCTATCTTTTGTCCTTCAGAGTTTTCTCATTTTTCTGTGTCGGTTATAAAGAATTTTTCATATCCTCACCTTCCTGCTTTGTAATTTAGCTTGGTTAACTCTTCTTGGTCTTTTCAAAGGTCAGCAGGTGATAATAACTGGTTAAATATTATCACAATTATAAACTATCTCATTTCATTAAACTGTAAGTATCTGGGATTAAGAAAGTATAGTTAATCCCATTATACATTAAATACATTAGTGTGTGACTTTTTGCCTGAAAAACTTTTCCAGTTAGTTCAGTAGCGCAACAGAAAATCTGGAAACCTTGCCCGTACATCAAAAAAAGGTAGAAAAAATGGTTTTTATTAGCATGTTCAAGGTAGTCAAGATTTTAACAAACATCTTAATCCTCACAACAACCCTGTGAGGTAGGTGAGTCATTATTTGCGATAAAACTAATATTATTCCCAAATAAAGCATGATTCTGAAAAGAATAAATCTTCATTCGGAATAATTCTCTTAAGAACAGTCTTTTTTTTTGTATGCTAATATTTATAGTTTTTGTACATTTTAATTCATGCAGTTAATATGTCCCAAGAAAAGTTTAACACATGTGGAGAACTAGATAAAACACATCCTTGGTGAAATATTAATATTTTCTGTAAAATATTTTTTGATCTTATGTAAAAAAGAAACTTCCGTAGTATTTACAAAAAGAGATGCATTCCCAGCAACATTTCACCCACATTTATCCATTCTCTGATACAGTAATCTCAACATGGCACCTTGAATGAGATTTTAGCAATTTGGTATATGGCAGTGAAATGTATTGTTATGAAGTTTCTCTAATATTGCACTTAATTTTAATTAAAAATCTAAAGCAGACTACTTAATTGAAATATAAACACTAAAATATAGTGATATATTTCAAAAATCAGTTTCCCTTCAGAATCTATTTTTTTTCCCTTAAATTGCAAAAGGAAGAGCTGTCTTAAGGTGTTTTTTTTTTTTTTAAAAAAAACCCAGCATTTTGGTAACTATAAAACTACTTACTTTGCAAATCAGGGCTCTCAATTACTAACTACAAGATACACAGCAGATGTTACTCCAAAAATTTAGTACTTCTTTTGTGTGTATATATAAAATATAAAAAGAAATATATCCTTGAATCCATTTTCCTCTTACACCTGCATTAAGCATACATTTCTACTGTTAGTCCAACAGTAGTAAACATCCAGTTACCTAACGTCTTTATAGCTGCCTTACCTGCAAAATGCTCATTAGAGATTAAATTTATGCATGAGTTACATATTTAGGATAGTTACATAATTTATTCATAATATTAAGTTAGAAAGCTTAATTAACACTTCACTGGCAGGTTTGTAATACCTTAGGAAGTAGTTAAATTTGCCACCTTAGTGAAACAGTTTAAGTCCACAAAATAACTTTATCAAATAATTTTAAAAATTGCTGAAGGGAAGAATTAGGTAAATCAACAAGTAAAATAGGCTAGGCCATCTATAGGTTGTACATTCAAATCCATACTAAATCCAGTAGTGCACTTTGGTTAATAGTGAGGTAGGGTAAAGAAAGATACTTTTGAACTATTAAAATTTATATAAACTGAAATACTGACATTTAACATGTTTTACTTGGAAATCCAAAAAGAAAAATGATACAGTATTCCTTAGACTTTACAACAAAACTGTAAAAATCTCTGAGGTACACATAAATAAAAATACAAAGGCCACAAGATATATTTTATTAACATAAAATATGTTTATATAAAAATAACCCAGGTTATATAAAAAAGAAATACAAATATTTTTGCATAGATCCTCTATATAATTTTTTTTCCCGGAGCCAAACACTGGAAAATACAGCTCTGAAACTAGTATAGTTAAACTATTTCCTTGGATACCAAGTGTACATAAAATAAAAGCCCTTCAGATCTGGAGGAGCATGGGTAGGAGGGAAAACAATTTAATTTAGCATCAGTCTATATTTATTTCTCTGTTGCTCGAATATAAACCAATGATGACAAGAGGAGAAACTCTGGGGGTTTATTTAACAAAATTAAATTCACATTTCTGAGGCCATCATAATGCATCCAATGTCCATCAATCTGGAAAGCTGCAGAATAATGATGTTCATCTTTGTTAAATAATGTTGCGCCTTCCAATAAATATCTGCAAATTAGATGACAAAGTGCAGTGGGAAATTATATTTTTTAAGAGAGACATTCCTTAAATTTTTAGCAAAGGAGTAAAACGATTAGCATTCTATCCCCTGACAAATCTTCATCTCTATAAATCATGTACTATAATTGGTAATTTGAGTACAATGTTTATACATATTGATATAATTTAAGAATTAAAAAAAAAAAACTACCTTGGGGCAGGCATTGTTAATAGAGCAGGTTAAACTACCTCCTGCTAGGTTTATTTGTGATCCAGCTCCCTGTTACTGACTTGGGAAAGCATGAAAAGATGGCCTAAGTACTTGAACTCCTGCAACCCAGGTGGGAGCCCCAGATAGGGTTCCAGGATCCTGGCTTTAGTTTAGTCCAGTCCTGGCCATTGCAATCATTGGTGGTGTGAACTAGTCGATTCTTTCTCCTCTCTCCCTGTCTAACTCTGCTTTTCATTAGATAAATAAACCTATTTCAACAGATTAACTCACTCCTATTAAAACCAAGAAAAAACATATACAATTGCCTAAAAAGCCAGAAAGTTAAAAGAACCTTTGACCTTCTGATTTGTATTTTTATTTATGACAAATAACATTTTGTTAACTGATGACCTATATACTATTAGCTAGAAGTACCAATTTTTTAAAGATTTGTTTTTATTTATTTAAAAAGCAGAGTTACGGATAGATAGATAGTCCATCTGCTGGCTTAATCCCCAAATGGTGGAATGGTTGGGGATGTGATGGGGCATAGCTAGGAAACCCAGAGCTTCTTTCAGGTCTCTCGTGGGGTTTCATGAGTCCAAATACTTGGACCATCCTCTACTGCCTTTCTGTGTGCATTAGCAGGTAGCTAAATTGGAGGTGGAGCAGTCAGGTCTAACACTGGTGGTCATATGGGATGCTGGCATCACTAGCAGCACCTACTTACCATGCCACAACACTGGTCCCATAAGTGGTATTTAAAAAAAATTTTCAGCCATGCATTTTTTTCAAATTTATTTATTTACATTTATTTATTTCAAAGGCTGACGTACACTCACACATGCACACAGAGAGAAATCTTCCTTCTGCTGGTTCACTTCCCAAATACCCTCCACAGCCTGGAACTCCGTCCAGATCTCCCATGCGGTGGCAGGGACCCAAGTACCTGAGCCATCATCTGCTGCCTCCCAGGATGTACACTAGCAGGAAGCTGGATCAGAAGTGGTGACGGGACATGATCTGATCACAGCACTCCACTGTGGAACGAGCAGTGGCTTGGTTTGCTGTGCCAAATGCCTCACCATGAACAATGATTTGTGACTATTTAACATGTATCTAGGATATATCAGGCATTGGCCTAAGCACTTAGCATGTTTGATCTTAGTAAAGCCTCATATAATAATGACACCAGGTAGATAATGTCATCTCTCCTTTATAGATAAGAAAACTGATGTGTAAGCTAGTTAGGTTATTGCTCCCAAGGATATAAAACTTGATTTAAACCCAATTCTATCTACACTATCATCCACATATGTCATCACCATGCACAGTTAGGCATTGCCTTTCTGTAATAGATTCTGATCTTATTCTGAATACATAAAAGTAACACCTACTTGTGATCAGATAGATCCAAGTAATAGGGTACATATGCCAGATCTTCAGATTTCCAGTGCTGCATATTTAAGACAACAAAAGGGGGTGCCCCGTGACAGAAAATTCGCTGGGCAAATTCTCTTAAGCCACCACAACTAAAATAGAAAATAGGCATAAACATTATTATATACAGGACAATGCTGCCTCTTAACACTTGTAGTTATGTCTATTATTTTAATGTCTAGTAAATGTAATGATGTGGGATAAGTATGAGTAACAGGTAGCTGCTTATTACCTTATGTGTTACATCTATTGCCAGAAGTTTACAGGCTGTGTGCTTTATACTTGAACTGGATTTTTAAAACTCCAGAAAAAGCTAGCTATTTCTATCTAGGATTATAAAAGCATGAGTTGGCTTTTATTTGTAGACACATCTTTCTCTTAGCAATCAAGAGAAAAATAAAGACTAATTGCTTCCTTTGCCATTAAGATCTTTTTAAAGGATGAAACAAATTCTGGTTTCTGAGTGTTGTTAGATATTAACTATATGTACCAGAATATAACAAATTTACAGTAAAATCTCGATTAACCGGAATACTCAGAGCACAGTATTCTGACTAATATCACTGATCAAACTAAGTTAATAAAAAATGATTAATTTCAGCATTGGTTGCTAAAATACATTAGTTTACTCTCTGGACTTAGGGATAATTAACTGAATGTAATTTTTTGTATTTCTCTTTTGTGAATAATTAGCTATACATTTATTTTTATTCTCATTGTACAACAATGCAAACACAGAAATTGCTAAGGGTTTGGGATAAACTGATTTTGTCCCTCCGAACTTTTTTTTAATATGTTAATTTTTTCGGTTGTCATTTGCCTCTTTCTCCTAAATGAGGAATGAAGAAATAAATCCAGTTAATTGAGGGTCCTGATTAGCTGGGTTCCGGTTAACCAAGGTTTTATTGTACCTACTCAGCAGTGGGAAAAAAAAAGAAAAGGCATTTGCTTCATACTTATCAATTATCTGTAATATCATATTCTAAGTAGTGATATTTGATAGCAATTAACACAATGTAAGATGTGTTAAGGAGATTCAACGTGTTTGGTTTCCCAGATTCTTATCAGTTGGTATTTGGTAATGTATTAACTTCAAAAGGCACATTAGTACAGGTTTCCTTATAAACAAAACAGTAATGCTTTCATCTTACGTGCCTATCAATACTCACCCACGCTCTTCACACAGTTCAATCTTGGAACAGAATAGTTCATCTACAGCCAGTCGTATTAAGTTTCCATGTGGAATTTCTTGGGGAGGACTATAATAATCATAAAATGAATGTAAGAACTGCATCAACATGTTACAGATCAATATATCAATAGGACAACAAATCATACTGATCAATCAATTATTAGCAAAACCAAGTATATCAGGAACAACTTTTGCTAGCCATTTTTGTATGTCTTGCAGATAGCTTACAAATCAGTTGAACATCAACATCCAAAGCTTTCCAATAAACACTAACATATTCTGTAAACTGATTCTGAATATGCCCACGTTGCTACTTTAATTTTAAGAAGTGAGAGGTTTGAATAGCAGCAGTCTGGCCTGGCACGTAGAATGCAAGATCCAGAATAAGGACAGCAGCTGCTCAGCTCTAACTCCAAGTCAAAACCTTGGCTTCACTTACCCGATCCATTTAAAATGTCTGCCAGCAATTGTTAAATGTTTTCAACTCAAGATTAAAAAAATACACAACAGCTTTAGGTTTTAGAGTACGATGAAAAATAACTTATAAAGTAAGAGAAAAGCAAAATACCAAAAATGTAAGATGTTAGCATAACAAACTGAAAGACAATAGGTTCTAAAAAACAAGATTAATTTGTGAAAATTTCCAGTCTCTTTTTCAACAGTAAAACAACTTTTTCCAGTGATAAGAAACTTCAGAATCAACATGGTAATTGTACAAGAAAATAGAAGTATTATTTACAAAAACTAGGATTTAAATAAATTAGAGTTGTGCAATTGACATTCCTCAATAGGAATAATCTTCAAGTATTGGACAGCTTTCCTGAACCGTAGGACCAAATACTGTTTCTGACACAACACTTTCGTGTCTGTTTTTCTTCCACTAGCAATGATCCTCTTCCAGCTCTGTTCCCTGGGGGCCTTATTGCTTCCCAGCTCTCCACTCAGGCTTACCAATTTGGCCTTCCTCCCTGTTATGTACCAGCCTGGTGGACTGCTTCTTTCTGAAAGCCAAAAACAGCCAGCTCTCAGCACCTTTCATGTCAGTGTAAAAGCTTTTCGCATTTGCACCCTTATTCAAGGGTGAGATGCTATGTTTAGGTTTTGGGTCTATAATCATTCCCTAGCCATGACACGGAAGTGTTTTTCATCTTGTTTACGTGGAATGTGGAGTTAGCCTTGCCAACAGACACTTCTATTCAAGGAGCAAAACAGTTAAGTGTTCTAAGAGTTTAAATTTGTGACACAAGAAGTCATATACACAAGTTATTAAAAAAACTATATATTAAATAATTGATTATTTTGATACTGAAAAAGCTAACGGGGAGAGGTAGGCATGGTAGTTCAACAGGCTAATCCTCTACCTACAAATGCTAGCATCCCATATATGGCCCTGGTTTGTGTCCCAGCTTCTCCACTTACAATTCAGCTCCCTACTCATGGCCTGGGAAAGCAAAAGAGAGAAGCTCAAGTCCTTGAGACCCTGTACCCTGTGGGATAACCAGAAAAAAATTCCTGGCCCCTGGCTTCAGGTAGCTTAGTTCTGGCCACTGCAGAGATTAGCGGAGTGAACTAGCAGACAGACAGCTTTCTCTCCTTCTCTCTGTAAATCTGCCTTCCCAATAAAAATAAATAAATCCTTATTTATTTATTGCATTAATAAGTAAAAAACAGTAAAAAATTATCAGTTGATTTTTTATAAGGTAATTCTAAAATACTTAGATGTAATAAATGGTAGTATTTTCTTTAGGAGACTTACAATGGAGTCCTGTATTTGTGTGGTTGCTTTATCCATAATTACACAGGCTCTCTCTGTACTTTAATACCTTGGCTATACAGTTTTTATGTGAACACATATCTAAAACAAAATTAATTTTTGAAAAGTGACAAAACACAGATTAGATCAACTTACTTTATGTTGATTGTGCGCTGCTGATCTTCTTGCACTCGAGTTGGGCATCGCCAGTTGGAACAGTAACTCTCTTGAATGGTAGACATAAGGTTTTCCAGATTTTTGGTAAAGTTATCATGCTCATTCCCAAATAAATCAATTATTAATGATGCTTTGTGAACTTCAGATTTGTATTGCTGTTTTTCCATCTTGTCCCAAATCCAAAGTAGCTTCACAGTTGTAAAGCTGTAGGTGTCCATTAAGTGAAGAAAACAGTCTACAAACTCTCTACCGAGATGAAGAGAGAGTTCCCTGGGGAAATTTTCATTTTCATTCAGAATGACATACAACAACATCAGAAATCCATCTATGGTGCAGGTATTTTTCAGTCTTATTTCAACATACAGTGGTGTACAGGATACTGCTTTGCGGCCAGCTTTGATAGTAAAAACACCTCCCCAAGGAAGAACAGGCCTCCAAAATGATCGATCTTGGTTATAATTATTTCTAATTGATGCTTTGATCTCTTCAAACAGTGTCTTCATCCTGCATTTTAAAAATTCAAATTATAACATGAAAAAGCATAAGATGTGTTCAACTGAACACTAGTCTACCTAAACATCCAAGTTAAATTTAATTAGATGGTTTCCCATTGTTAGAAAACAAAATGTGCTATTTTGCAGACAATATGAAAAAGATCTTTAAAAAATGATCCTTTTTTCTTAGGTACAGCATAGCCATTTCTTAGGTGTAAAACCATGTTACATGTTTTATCTGTTACATAGGAAAACTCCGTGATCAAAAAAATGCTAAATGAAAACAAAGTTTAAATTACCTAAAGACACAAACTGTTTATATGTATTCCAGTGTAAATCTCTTCTTTCCTCCAAAATACAACCTGTGCTTCACTTTCTTACTAATACAGGTCGTCCTTCGTAGGAAACTGAAATAATAGGGTCCTTAGTTGAGTTACACAGTCATTGTCACTTGGTCTTTATGTAAATATAATCCATATGTGTCTCTGTAATGAAAGAACTACATAGTTGGGCTGGCATAGTGGCTCAGTGGGCAAACCCTCTCCCTGCAAGCACCAGCATCCTATATGGGCAACAGTTCATGTCTTGGCTGCCCCACTTGCCTTCCTGCTCCCTGCTTGTGGCCTGGAAAAACAGTGGAGGTTGGCCAAATGCTTTGGAACCCTACACATAGGAGACCTAGAAGAGGCTCCCTGCTTTGGATCAGCTCAGCACTAGCCATTGTGGTCCCTTGGGAAGTGAACCAGGGGATAGAAAATTTTTTGGTCTCTGTCCCTCCTCTTTGTACATCTGCCTTTGCAATAAAATAAACCTTTCAAACAGTAATTTCACTCATTGCTATTGATAGACTGGGTCTAGCATAAGACAAATGGGGGCTAATCATGAGAAGCGAACACTAGCATGGCTAGAATTTCTATTTACTTTGAAATTTTTACCTGCAATTTAGAATGTGTTAGATATCCTAATTAATTTAAGTACAGAGGCCATGCTATGAAGATCTGATTCAGAAGCTGATCTATCTATGTATCCGTTTATCTAAATTTTCCCTTCTTCATCTTTTGGGAGTGACTTTAAAGTGTCTTTTTAAATTGGCGCTATCTTCCTTCAGGCTTTTTAAAAAGCCCATGGCAGAGCTCAATGAACATTTTTGTAGCACGTTCATGTTATGCATCACAAATTTTTTAAAAACCTGCTGAAATTGTATTGAAAAAATTGCCCCACTTCACTTAGGAAAAACAAATATCTAACTAAAAACATCACGGTTTTCAAATACGTTAAACATTTATAGAAAAGTATTTTTTTTAATTTAAAGAAATCAGAAATGAAGTCAGTTTTATGTCAGTCACATTTCAAATGTGACATGAGCCTAGTACTCAATACCACAGTCGTTTGTGGTTTTTGTGAAAAATTGAGTTGCAAACCATTTACCCGTGCCTACAGACTACAAATTCAGTTTTGCATTATGCTGACCAGACATGCATAAAGTATTATTTCCAGCTAGGAGAGTCTGTGGACTCTAAAATATTCAAAGCTATATTTAGTCTGTAGATGTTTATATATAGTTGGCTGACATGTTGTCTTTAGTCAACCACTTAGGAATCAGAGGGTGTGGCAAATCTGAAGCCCAAGAAAACAGTAACTCTTAATAGAAACCAACATGTTGCCTGTACAGAGATTTCCAAAACACTTCACAAATGAGAAGACCTTTCTCCAGCTTTCACAGCTGCTTAATTTTTAATGAACTTCACAGCAAGCCTTAGGATTGTTTCAAACTTCAGGTTCAGGATCCTAAAGAATGCTTTGGGAAGGAAATGTTAAATCTTGATGCATTTTTCCTCAAATTGGCATAAACAGTAACTACTTCTAGCTCCGAAAAGCAGTAGTTACAATATGAGAAGTGGATCACATGATAGGAAAGTAAACTTTAGTCTTTTTCTAGGTTAAAAAAAAAAATGAAACGGGGATTGGAAGAACTAGAGGCCATATTTACACATTATTTGGATCTGCTCCAAAGTAAATTATAATAAAAATGTTAAAAAAAAAAAAAAGGTCTGAAAGGAGAAAGATGGAGAGCAGGCTGCAAAGAAATTGACTTAAAGCTTTCTCAAGTGTTCACATAGTTGAAGATTGTTATATTAGGCACCGTAATTAATGGAAATATTAGATAATGTATTCTCTGGCTTTTTTCCTCCTGCCCCAACAGGTCTTCCAGTTTAAGTAAACCTGAAAAACTCCCCCACCTTCTAGTTTCTCAGTAAAACTACACCTTTCCTTAGCGGTCATTTCCAATCTGAACCCAGGGCTGGCCTTGAGGACCACACCACCTGCCCCAGGCATTCAAGGCCGGACTGTATAAAGGCAGCGCGGTCCTAAGGGTCACCTCTCCAACCATCCCCCGAAATACTGCCCAGCGGGGCGCCGCGGGGCTTCGGGGCAGGTACCCGGGGGCGCGCGGTGGGCACGCTCCGCTGGCCCCTGCGTCCCGACCACGCCCACCCGGCCGGGCCAGGCCGGGTCCCGCACCGCGGGGCGGGCGCCCGACAGCCGGGGAGACCCGCAGCTGGGATCGCAGGCACACGCGGGGCAGGTCGGACCGCACCGGCTGGGCGCTGACTGGAAGCCGTCTCCTCGTACCTCCCCGGGGACCGATAACCGCCGGTGCCGCCGCACCCGTCGCCGCCGCCGCTTGCTCATGGAGAGCCCGGGCTGACACCGCCACCTCCGCCGCCTCATCTACCAGCACCGCGGGCTGGCTCGTCCTCCCCCGGCCTGAGTACTGGGCTCCGGCACGGCCTCCATCGCACCCGCCGCGGCGGGAGCCACAGCAGCTCCAGCGCCCAGGACCTTTCCCACCGGCCCCTCGGAGCCAGGACCGCGGGGCTGCGTCGCTTCTTATTACGGAGGAAGGTTCGGCCTGACCTCCGCCCCCCTCCCCCTCGGGACGGGTTTCCAGCCGCCTCACGGCGCTGGTGCGCAGGCGCAAAGACGTCCAGGCCAAACGTGCGTGTGTCTACAGAGTTCAGAGCTGCCCAATGGGAGCCAGCATCAGGTGCGGGAGGGCGGGACCTCGCGGGTAGGCGTGGCGTTCCCTGGTGAGGAGCAGGCTGGCGGGGTAGCCGGAAGTGGGCTTTTCACGGAGATGGAGTTTTATTGACAAACTAGATTGTACTTTAAGGTGTGTATTATTTCTAGGACTTTCACTTGATGTTAGCTTACTTTATTAGGTCGGGTTTCCAAAATTAGTAACTCAAGAGAAGAAAGCCTAGAAGTTAGTCAAGGTTTTGATATTTTGACTTGGTCTCTTGATATTCAAAATTCCTTAAGAAAAAGTTCAGTTGATATATAAAATGACAATTTTAGTGTTTAAGGTAATGAAAGCCTTTTTTTTTTTTCCTTTCAAAGTAGATAGCTTTAGCCCCATTGTAGACAAGCAACAATTTTTTGACATTAATGTTCCACACAGCGAATGACAGAACTGGAAATGGAAGATAGGGTTGCCTAACGCTAACTTTCGTGGGCTCACAACCCCTTTTCCATGACTGCACACAGGCCACTCTGGAAAACTGTCTTCACTCACAGTTAGAAATAAAGATAACTGTTGACATTTTCCTCATCCTACCAGTGAATACACCGCTTGCAGAGCGGGCAAACCAGCCCAGGCCAGCCGTGTGGCTCTCAAGCCAAGGGGAGGTTGGCTGCTTCCTTGACCCTTCTTGTGGGTAATCAGGGCTATAGCGGGGACCTTCATGGACCTGTCCCCAGGAAACAGGTGCTGGAGCAGTGAGGCTGAGGAGCAGTGGATTTCCTGCTGTTGAGAAGGGAACAGGCAGCTATCCTTCAGGGCACTGGGAGAAGAAAGATGGCTTGACCCACAAATAACTGGAAATTCCCGCCTGTTTACTATCTTGCTCTCACCCCCCTCCTTAGGAGGAAGCTGAGGTTCTAAGAAATTAAGGGAACTATTATGTTTGGATTTTCATGCAGTATACTTAGCTGTCCTACAAATTGAAAAGCACTTTTAAAAGGTTTTCAATTATGAATTGTGCAATTAATTAAAAAATCTCTCCCAGGATGTAATTTCATCTTACAGTGATTAGGCTATCTCCCCCGCCTTCGCCCCCCTGACACACCCCATTTCTGGCTGGCAGGATGGTTCGTTGAACACTGCAGAGGTTTAGTAAGCAAAGCCAGAGTGGATTCCCTCCATTCCTGGGTAATTCACACACCCCACTGAACCATGAAGTGAGATTTCCATCATGTTTCCTTTTTTATTTCTCGAACTGTGATATGGAGAAGCAGGTTGCTTTTGTTTTTGTTATATTTGTTTGTTTGCTTTTTTTAGGATACCGTTCAAGTATTATGGGCATTCAGTGTATAGAACATACCTACAGTGTAGAGTCTGATGAATTTTGGAATATGCACACCCCCCTTGAAGCTATCACTGTGACCGAGTGAATTATTTTCACACTTCCTACACCTACACATAAGCAATTGCTTAGTGTTTTTTTTTTTTTTAAGTTTTGTGTAAAAGGCATGACAGGCTTTTTCTTTAAGGTCTGTTTGTTTCATTCAATATAATTGTTTTGAAACTTATCCCTCCTTTGAATACTAATAATTCATTCCTTTATTCCCATTCCATGTTCATACTACAAGTTGTTCATTTATTAATGGACATTTGGGCAGCAGATGGATATTGCACAATGTCTAGTTTTGAACAGTTCATCATAAAAATGCTATGGACATTTCTGTGCAATTCTTTGTATAGATAGAGCATTCCTTTGCTAAATATTTAAAATTGGAATGGCTGGGTCACGTAGTAGGTCTATAACGTTTTGAGACATTTGTGTGTTATTTTCCAGAGTGGTGATGTAATTTTACATTGCCTTCAGGAGAGTGTAAGCATTCCTGCCTCTTCACATCTCTTCACATCTTCAGCAGCACTTGGCTATTTCAGTCTTTTAAATTCAGCCATTCTAATAGGTATGTAAGGGATACTTGTTGTGCAGTTTTAGTTTGCATTTCCCTAAAGATTAATGATGTTGAACATTTTTTTTTTCATTTTCTATTTGCCATATGCTTATCTTTCCTAGTGAATCATGTTTCATTAAAAATAAAAACAGTTGCTCATTTTTTTTTAAAGATTTATTTATTTAAAGTCAAAGTTGAGGAGATAGAAAGGCCCAAGCACTTGGGCCATCCTCCATTGTTTTGCCAGGAAGTTTGCAGGGAGCTGGATCACAAGTGGAACAACCAGCACACAGAGCAGCACCCCATGTAGTTAGCTGGCATTGCAGGCATTGCCTGTCACACCAAGGTTTTGAGAGTGGTTATGAAAAATATATTCTGTTCTCCCTGCAACTCTTACTTTCAATCAACTCTTACTTTCAATCCACATATATAAAGTGGATGCAAATCTTTTGTTGAGTATATGCCTTACCCTTTTTTTTCCCCAGTATGTGGCTTGTCAGTTCATTCTCTTACCACTATCTTTTGAAGAGCAGTTTTAATAAAGTCCTCTTTAATTTCTTGTGGATTGCATTTTTAATATTGTCTCTAAGAAATTTTGCTTACGTAAATATTACCCCTAAGACCTTTTCCTGTTTTCTTCTAGAAATTACCATTTCTCAAATGTGGTACATTTGAGAAAACTTTTTAAAACTTTTTAGCATTTTTTTAGCAGTGTGAATCCAAGTTTCTGTATTTGATTATATATGCATATTCAGTTGTTCCAGCAATATATTTTGAAAAAACATATTTTGTACTTTTGTCAAAAATCAGCTGTCCATTTTATAAGCATTTTATTTAATATTCATCACCAGTTATGTATCAGAAAATATGCTAACACTATACAGGTATGTATAAGTGATCTTTCATTGCAAAAACTAGAGACCAAATATTGCAACTTAAATAAAAGAGCACATACATTGGGAGAATGTGAAGTACAATAGATTAAAGAATATACAAACAGGTTTTAGTTCCCTGGAGGACATTGAAACCCGGTTAACACAGAAGAGACCGCCTGGGTATCAGTGCTTCTCATTTGTTTTTCCCATTGGTTTGTAGTAAGTTTGGGGCAGGGAGGGAGGGAGGTCAGCCTGTTGGACATATAAGGCCTGTGAAGTCATGCGGTTTGCCTCTGAAGAATAACTACAGGTGGGATTTGAAATTCAATATATCTGTAACAGGTTAATATTTAACATGCTTCTGTATGGCTGTCAAATGATTTATAAATATGCAGATGGAATTTTATAGATTAAAGGCTCCCCCTCTTGTAATAAACAATCACACTTGGGTAGAATGTGATGGTAAACTGATGAATATTAGGAAGTGTAGTGAAAAATTCATCACACGTTCTTTACTTTATATAATTTTTAAGACCGAAGCTACATATTGGGGAAGACCTGGACTATTGAATTTATGTAAAGCTTCTTAAAATCTCTTTAAATTTTTACGAAAAGGTTGAACTTATTTCCACGATAGCACACTGGGTTTTATGCTTGAAGTGACTGGTGAAAAAAAACCTTTTTTCGATACTTAGTAATAATGATTTAAAATTCCTTAGGGTTACTGTTGGTAGGAGAGATCAATACTGATCTCTTGCAGCATGATGGTCACGTTAGAACACAGAACAGGACTTTAAGATGAAGTGTTTCAATGAATGACATAGACCTTGTCTGTCTTTTTGTGAACTAATCTTGAAATAAAATTTTTATCTTTTATTTTAGCCCTGACATTTACACATAAGTAGATGATGGCAAATAGTGCAAGAATTTATTTGTCTTTAATTGACCGATCATCTTTTATTGTTATTAATCAGAAATCAAATAATTTGATCTTTTTAAAGTGTATGCTAAATCTAATAGGTCTTTCATTATGAAATCTAAGGTTGAAGTTCTCAGTAGTAATGACAATGGATTTATTGCAAATTGAAATTTTCATATCAATTGCTTCACAATAAAGTTTTTTTTAAGCATATGCATAAGTTGACCTACCAGGTGTAATTCTGCATTATGTTATGAGGAAACTATTTTAATCTTTCATGAATGTTGAATTTTTGCTTTGAATTTATAAATTTTTTGATATATTAGAAATTCAAGAGTTTACTACAAAAGGTGATATAGTGAGTGCTTGGGGTGTGCAAGTGCGTTAATGCGTAATCTTGAAGTTAGTGAGCATGTTGGGGAAGCTATGTTACACTCACTGCTAGGCATGATGACTCCTCTAGGAGAGGCCTTTGGGGATGTGTGCCTGACATCGTTTCCCTTCATATGATACAATTTCTTCTACTACTCTACCCTCTTGAAATGCCACTCTTTTATATCTTGTTTTATTAGTTATTTGTTTCTTTATGAGTTGATAGAATTGCAGTTGCAAAAGATCAGATCTGTATCTTTATTGCTATATGAAATGATACACTTTTTACTCACCCATATGTTTAACGTTTCTAGTGCTTTCCATTCTGTTGTATGGGTCTAAATTGTTATCTGGTGGAATTTGATTTCCTTCAGAAGAATTTTCTTTTTTTTTTTTTAAAGATTTATTTTTATTATTTTTTTATTGGAAAGGCAGATATACAGAGAGGAGAGACAGAGAGGAAGATCTTCCGTCCGATGATTCACTCCCCAAGTGAGCGCAACTGGCCGATGCTATGCCGATCCGAAGCCAGGAGCCTCTTCCGGGTCTCCCATGTGGGTGCAGGGTCCTAAAGCTTTGGGCCGTCCTTGACTGCTTTCCCAGGCCACAGGCAGGGAGCTGGAAGGGAAGCGGGGCTGCTGGGATTAGAACCGGTGCCCATATGGGATCCCGGGCGTGCAAGGCGAGGACCTTAACCACTTGCGCCACCGCGCCGGGCCCCAGAAGAATTTTCTTTAACATTTTTGGCAGTGCACATCTGCTGTGTTTGTTTTCAAGTGG